CTTCCCGCACCCGCACCCACTTGGACCTGAATCGCACGGCGCAACAAGTAGCACCTCCTTCGTCAACCTTCATCCTCTTTCCTCCTTCTTTTCAGACCCATCAGCATTGCATGGTAACGTATCGCATCGCATTATATCGCATATCATTGCGTTACATATTACTTGCATCTGTTTCACATGCATTGCCGCCATAATTGCTTTTCCCGGCCATCCATTACATCAATCTCGACAACTTGCTTCTTCCCGTTGACGATCACCCCCATTCCGGCCTCCAGTCTCTGTACAGAGAGCATTCGAGTTTCCGACCGCCGAATTCGTACTACGCGAGCTCTACGAACGATCCAAGGCTGTTACATTGCAAGATATATCGCGTTATTACCGCTTTTCTTTTAGAGGTCATCGAAATCTTTGTCCATTCGACACGCCAACAATGTCTGGTCTAATGAGCAAGCGCCAGCAGGCGCGGAATGAAAAGGCTCTGCAAGATCTTGTGCAGAATGTTCCGGGAAATAATATGTGTGCAGACTGTCATGCGCGTAATCCAGGTACACCCAGACATACAATGAAGCTCATCATGGGGCCGCCTGTAGAACGTTCGGAATTTGCTAACGTGAACTGTCATCTTTAGCATGGGCATCATGGAGTGTAAGCATTTCTATGGCGTACCGAAATCGACTCTGACTAACTTCGTTATTAGCTCGGCGTTTTCTTATGTATGAGATGTGCTGCAATCCACCGAAAGCTTGGTACGCACATTTCCAAAGTCAAGTCCTTGAGTATGGACAGCTGGACCAACGAGCAAGTCGATGTGAGTAACGAGAATAATACCAGATTTGCGTACGTGAGTATCTCTCAGCTTACACAACCAACAGAACATGAGGAAGGTTGGAAATATTACATCGAACAACTTATACAACCCTGAACATGGCAAGCCGCCTGTGCCCGTTGACGTTGACGAAGCCGATTCCGCGATGGAACGATTCATTCGACAGAAGTATATGAACAATACTGTTAATGGAACGGGAAAATCCAAGTCTCCGCATATGGGCGAGGGAAAACCTCCACCGTTGCCGCCTAAGAACTCGAAGTTCGGATTCCGATCTGCCTCGTCCATCTTTCCTCTGTCTTCCAAATCGAAGAAGGATGCCAAAACAATAGCGGCTGCTCAAGCTAGTCGTACCGAATCTCCAAGGCCGCCCAACAAGCCTTCCAAGGTTTTCGGCGCAACACTGGATCTCGACCAACCTGATGAGCTGGACCAGAAAATGGCCAGGCTACAGGACATGGGCTTCCAGGATGCTAAGAGGAATGCCTTGGTGTTGAAAGGTGTTAACGGCAACCTTGAAAGGGCGATCGAAACTCTTGTGCGATTAGGCGAGGGAAGTGGCCGTCCCTCTCCTCTTCCTACACCTTCACCTCGAGAACAGACTCTGCGTACATCAAGGTCCTTGACGCCTCTTACACCAAATTCCGGAGGGCTAGGACTCGGCGCAGGTCTCAGCGTACCTTCCCGTTCAGCCACAGACCGTCCGACTACTCCATCGAGTGCTTCAACAAATCCATTTGATAACTTAGGCACAGCTCCACCACAGACAGCTCAATCGACAGGAAGTCTCCAAAACCGGAACCCATACGGCCAGACAAATCCGTTTGGCGCACCCGTTGCACAGGAGCAACAGCCGACCGATGCCTTCAGCCAGGCATTTCAAAATATGTCACTCTCCCCACAGCAGCCTTTGTTTCCTCACCATACTGGAGGACCGGTCCCGCAACCTGTCCAGCAGCTTACAGGATACCAGCAAGTGGCCCCTTCGGCACCTACGACTCCTGGTGGTTTCTCGAGCTTGGGTTTTAGTAACAACATGACATACCCCCAGCCACTCCAAGCGCAGTCGACAGGATACAACCCTTTCTTCACAAACCAGACTGTCGCGGTCCAACAGCAGCCTCAACAGTCAAATAATCCTTTCCCCCAAGTCAACACCAACCAAGCGTCCGCAGGATACAATCCATTCACCCGATCTCCAACTCGGATAGCATCGCCCAGTCTTGGCCAGATCCCAGAGCAAACACAGAGCTCTTTCCAAAACCCGGCCGTATATCAGGCCTCTGCAGCATATCAAAGCTCTGCCGTATATCAGAGCCCGGCACCTCTGAGCCCCCCTGAAACTACTACGAACCCTTTCTTCGCGAATGCTGGCCAGTCCACAGCACAAACAGGACAGCAGGTATTTGGTCAGCAGCCTGTTATGCAGCCGATGCAGAATCAGGCCCAAGCGAGCAACAATCCATTCGCCCAACAACAGACAGGGCAGCAGTTCTATGGGCAGCAGCAGATGCCACACATGCAACAACAGCAAATGCCACAGCAGCAACAGCAACCGCAGTTCTACCAGCCCCAGAGACCCGACAAAGCCTCGATTATGGCGCTCTTCAACAATTACCCGCAAGCAACTCCCCAACAACCAAGTGTCGATTCAACACAGTCTTCTTACCAGACAGCACAAGCTCATCAACCACAACAGCCAACCATACCCGAGAACCAACCAATGGCTCCCGTGCAGCAGAACCATAGTGTTCACCCGCCAATGTCATCTGGAACAAATCCGTTCATGACAAACGCACCTGCTGCCAATTCCATTGCGGGCCCAAACGCTACGGCTACTTCGGATCCTTTTGCTGTTCGGAGCCGGGAGAGTATGAACCTTGGTATGGACCTCGCATGGACAAATGGTCGACACAGCCCGGATGCATTTGCAAGCCTCAGTGCCCGTCACGGATAATAGTACCGTAATAGAAGGTGCATTTGAATACAAATTTGTCCAGCATAGTACATATATGACACAGGAGATGTGGGAACACTGTATGATAGTATAATAATGTCTCTTTTGGCTAGTTGCGTTGAGGATCTTGGTTCAGGTTGCACTAGACTCGTATTTTCGTGTAACTGAATGGGATTACAGGATGTATTGGTTAAATTGGACCTGACCGAGTAATAGAGGCCAAGAATACAGCATAGCCATAACGGTGAATGGTGATGAGCATGTCCCCGGCGTGATAAAGTCGCGGAAACACTCTTCCGATCAGGGACTTTTCTCGGTAGACTATTTGCTGATAAGAGGACACGAGACAGAGATTGGCCCCTTTGCTATGGTTTATACTGAATAAAACCTTGTTTAGCTTCCAAATTCTCTGCCATACTTTGGGTATCGCGAGGGATTAGTTGGCATCTAAAGTAATGCAATTGAGCCGGGCCGATATAGCAGGTGCGTGAAACTAGCAAGGAGGGAAGGATGTGGCTGTGGAGGCCAAGGTCGAACTGAGTGTTTAGCATGTTGGTCATGCTTCATCTCTGCTGCAGCTAGAATGGGTATTTTGATAGTCTCGGTCCGGATGCATTCCCGAAGAGAACCAAAACGCGGGGTTGGGCACGGCGCCATCATGTCGGGACCACAGCGTGCCCACCAATCAACTTACACGACGGGGGCATTTAGTCCGGAGATAGATAGACATTGCTATGAGTTGGGTCGGGTTGGGTTGGGTTGAGTTGAGTTGAGTTTAGTTGGCAGAGAATGCCGCCTTTAATTGTCACCATTGCGTGCGTTCGCTGGCATTGTAGACAGGGAAGATCATGAAAATTGCATAAAACTGTCAATTGGATCCATATCGATCATGATAAAACTGATCATGTGATTGATTACTGTGGAGGACGCCCCAGATAATTGCAGTCTTTTTACACTGTAGAGACTTGTGTATCATGCAATTCTGGACAAGACCTCTCCAGATTCCCGTCACACAATGCAGAAGTGGCACAGCACAACTCAGCGGTATAAAGGACTGAATACAGTAATTGCTGTACAATGCATCCGTAGCGTGTAACTTTGCTGTTCGCTACTAATACAGTATGTAAGCGAGGAAGAGCATCATCTTACAGAGACGCTCGCAGAGAATTCTAGACTCTTCCGGGTTGGGTGGTAGCAATTGCGTGAGACAGTCTTGGAAGTATTGAGTTGCAACGGTGATGTGCAACCAAAAAAAAAAAAAGACATACATGGACAGTCTGGACTGCCCTTAACAAGAAGCCTGCGTTCATTCGTGAAACACTTTTAGACTCTGTATGACCATCAAGTTGTTTATCGTTCGTTACTCTGTTGCCAGCTGGCGACTAATATTCTCAGCCCTTGACCAGTAGACCTTACCATGTGCTGCGGAGGCGTTCGCGTTAGTGCGAAAGCGTGCGCTAGGTTTAGAAGAATGCTTGGCTAACAAGGTAGGTATTGTGATTCATTTTGATGAGAAATAAGTTGGAATTTCACTGATAATCACTGGGAAACGAGATTGTTGCAAATTGCAAGATGCTCATCAAGTTTGTGACGAGATGACGATATCTTGGCTGTGATCAACAACAACTCATCCAAGGATTTCTTTCCATTTCGCTCGGCTCAACTCACATCAGCGTTTGCCAAGATAAGAAAGTCGCACTGTACAACGCCTGTCCATCCACTGGAACTGCTAAGCTGTTACCCCGGCTCCAATGGATGCCACCCGACGTAGGTGGGTGTGGTAAGCGTTACCTCCACTGTGGTGCACAAAATTCCAGAGCCTCAGGTGAGGGGTCCACACAAATCGCTGTTCCTCCTGCCCCGAGCGTCAGATTCATGGGCTTTTGTCGCTCCCCCTTCAAGGCCTGACACACTCAATTCTCAGTATTTATCCTCGTCTTCGCCCTTCACACCGCTGCCACAATCTTGACTTCTACTCTACCCCAAGTTGAAGACATTCTCCACACGTTTACCAAGACACGAAACTAAACGTCGCCGCACGTATCCACACTTTTGCCTCCAAATAAACAACACAAATCTTGAAAAAGGATTTCCAACCCGTTTATTTCGAGTCACCTCAATCAAACGTTACCAGTCAACCTCTCTCCGTCGATCAACAACCTCGGCCCTTTCCCAACTATCACCACTTTAGTCGACACCCAGGAAACATCAACAGCAATGGCACCAATGAATAATCAGAATTTGAATTACAGTAGTAATTACGGCGAGGCCACTGCCCAGAAGGTCAATGTCCTTGCCTCTTGCTACCTCGTCGACTCTGCCGCCAACCTCAAGGGCCTCCACTACTGCACTACCGGGGTTGCAGGTACGTTATCTCTATAAAACACCACATCTGCGTCATGATCCTAACTCTGTGCTACAGGGGCCGAGTGGTATTCCTGAGGTCCCTTCCTCAGGATTACCCTCCCCTCCAACAAGCCCCCCCCTCGCCGCATTAACCTCGTCTAACGAGCTCGCTCTCTTGCCCAAGAACAAGAAGCGAGAAATCCCAGGCCGGCGCCTGGGCCGACGAGGGGGGGCAGCACTTTCGATCAGGGAAGAATGTGAGAGATTCTTTTGCGAGTCCATGAAGGCGACGTTCCACGGTGAGAGGAATTCGTCCATGAATGGCTCCGGCCTGTCTGGTGCTTTTTTACCAACGCCGCCGTCCGATGACCGGCTTCCCGAACACTTCAAGCCTGTTTCCGATGACAAGCTATCTGCCTACGACATTACCGCTTGGCTGGAGGTTTGGGACTATGCCGGCGGTGCGAGCTTCCGTGCCTTTGTTGCTGATGATGGAGAGGAGAAATCTCTCTTTGTCTTCTTCGACGTTGAAGGCGTCCTCGGCCGAGACCTGAAAAAGGCGTATGTTTCCTCCCTTTGATCCTGATCTGTCGCATCTCGCTAACACAATATCACAGTCTCATGGCCCTTATCGAATTGGCCGACGGTCCTTTGGACTGTGCCCACATTGTTACCTGCATTGACAGGCGTATCCCCGCGGATGACGTTCACTCTCTGTCAAAGAGCCTTCAGTGGGTTGGCTTCGACATGGTTACCTTGGATCACTGGGCCCATGATCTTGATGTTACGAGCAAGAAGTGGATGTTGATGGGCATGGAGCTATAGACAATGAGTTGCTTCCTTTATGGAGTTTGGGAGTGGTTGTGTTCTTTGTCTCATGTCATTTTACTTTCGTTGGTGTTTTCCAAAATTTAGCCTGGAGGCTCGCTCGGCGACTTGCTCAGCTATGCTCGAAGAGTCTGTTAGCATTGGCGTTGAGTCGCAAGTTCAACACACCCATTTTGGCGCATCTTTCCTGTTAAAGGATTTCTCAGGTGTTGGAGCGTATTGGTGTCTCTGTGTTATACCGAAGCTCTTATGGTTATGACTCTTTATCCAGTACATGCCTTCTAGTTAAAATTATACCAAAACGATATTTACCGAATTCAAGAATTTGTCTAAACTTATTCTTTGTTCTATTTCAAAAAGCCCTAAAAGCCCTCTTCGAACTGTCTCACTTTGAGACCCTTTTGTTGTAGGTAATCCTTCACTTGCTTGACTGTGTACTCGCCGCGGTGAAACATTCCAGCACCCAAAGCGGCATCTGTTGAAGTCTTTTGGAATACATCCTCAAAGTGAGCCGGGTTGCCAGCACCACTTGAGGCGATGACGGGGATCTTGACAGCTCCCTTGACCTGGTTGATGAGCTCGAAGTCGAACCCACTGTTGGTGCCGTCCTTGTCAATGCAGTTGAGGAGAATCTCTCCGGTTCCCATCGCCTCGACGGCTTGCACAAGCTCGACTACATCCATATCCCGAGTTTCACGGCCACCCTTGATTGTGCAGGCGTACCAACAGTACTCCTCGCCCTTAGGACCGGGAAACTGCGTCTTGACAATGTTGTGTCGGGTAGCATCTGGCTTGGGAACATAGACACGCTTGGGATCGACGCTCACAACAACGGCCTGGTTACCATAGGCCCGGGAAATCTGCTCAATGGCAGTGTTGCCAAAGAGTTTACGGCCGAGAGAGTAGTACTCTTCGGCAGCAAGAACAGCGTCAGACCCGATCGAGACCTTATCGGCTCCAGACTTGAAGTACATGGTGGCAATCTCAAGCGCTGAAACCTTTGTGCCGTCAGTGTCCACGGTGTCACGGATTCCACCACCAATGGTCAGGGGCACAAAAACAGTGCGAGACGTCTGACGAACGACCTCAAGCATGGGGAGATCGGCAACTGGGCAGTCTCGGAAAGAAGTGATGTTAAGGAACGTGACCTCGTCCGCCCCAGATTCGTAGTATCGCTTAGCCATCTCGACAGGCTTGCCCAGGTTGCGCACGTTGCGATCGTCACCCTTTTCGCGGACATCGTACTGATCGCCCTTTGTAACGACAAGATCACCTTGGTCATTTGTGCGCACATCCAAGCATGCAATGACTCGTCGTGTCAGGCTGTCCTCAAACTTGACGGGAGCATTGGCGACAGCTTCGTCGACTACATTGCCGAGGGTTTTCAGACCTTCACCTGTGAGAAAGGCCCGGAGAGTCCTTAGACCAGCAGCGCCAGACTTCTCTGGGTGGAATTGGGTTGCGTAGATATTGCCCTTGGCGATGGCACCTACGAAAGTCTCGGTGCCGTAGGTGCCAGTCGCAACAGCCCACCCTTGCGACTCGAGCTCTCCTGGCTTGTACGGGCACTTGTAGGAGTGAACATAGTAATACTTTGAGTCGGGTTGAAGGTCGTACATGGCCTTACCAGCAGTGAAGGCATTGTTCCAACCAATGTGAGGCACCGATTTACTTGAGTCGTCGAATCTATCCAAAGCAGCTGGTACGACTCCGAGACCGGGGATGTCAGGATCCTCGACAGAACCCTGGAAGAGAGCCTGTAGGCCAACGCAAACACCGAAAAAGGGCTTCCCATCGGCAATGTGCTTCTTGATAGGCTCTAGGTAGCCGGCTTGAGAAAGCTGGGAAAGACAATGGCCGAAGTGGCCGACACCGGGGAGGATGAGTTTCTGAAGCGCATCAGTCATGATGGACACATAAAAGGGAAGAGTCTCGCCGAACCTCTGCATTGGGAACGTCCTCTGGAGATCGAACCCATTCGACCTCGTAGCCACACTTTTCAATGGCATTCACCAGACTCCTGATGTTGCCGGCAACATAATCTAATAGGTGCACGGTGGGCATCTTGCTCTTGAATATATGTAAAGAAGATTGGAGAATGGAGGCTTGAGATTCGTCTTAGTAGAAAGAAACTATGACTGTTAAATACAATATAAAAAGAGAAGCGTTGGATGACTCAAGGGCGTGTTTTTGAAAACGTCAAGAAAGATATGGCCAAGTTCAAAATCCAACAAGACTCATCAAATGCTGTAACCCAGCCTGATAGCGATAGCGGGGCAGGGATGGACAGAAGCTGCCCCGCCTGATCCCTGCAATTATCAACTTTTCCTCCAAAGTGCCATCTTTGACCGACTTTGAGGCCCCAATTGGTAAGTACCTTGGCTATGAGCTTTAAGTTTCGCGACCAAACCTCTGCCTTTTGTCAACAACAGCATTATAGACTTTCAAGCACCGTCACTTTCAAAGCTACATACGCGCCGATGCCAATACAAATCGTTCATACACACCTAAATCCTACCGGGCCATTTATTCTATACAATTCACCATCCTAACAGTATTTGAGCGACCCGACGCATACAGCATGGCCACACCAGACGCGGCGAGGTCGGCCGAGACGGCGGCAATCCTCAAGGTTGAAGAACAATTAGAAAAAGATGACCAAGAAGAATGGGAATACGAATATTCGACCACTGAAACAGAGGTACTACTCAATTGAGAACTACACACTCACCTTAAACAACCAGCTGACTGTTACAAGACCTACTATTTAACACTCGATCTCTCATATCCCGAATTCAAAGACAGACAACCACGAACACCGCACCATAGTCGAGGTGGATATTACAAAACTTGGCTGGACCATAATCCTAGCTGGAGAGGCCTTCGCGCTGCAGAGGATAATGAGGATGATAACGACATCGACAACGACCCTTTGCCGGAACCAGAGGCTGACGACGACGAACCCGAAATCGACCCGGCCCTGAGCAACGACAAAGGCAAAGGAGTTGATCGTGGCGACACAGTGGACGATACAAAGGAGAATGGGAACAAGACTCGTAATGAGACTGAGGATATTCAGATATTGGAACTGCATTCGCCGCACCCGATTATATCGTACAAAGGTCGAACTTTTGAGGGCTCATGGGCCGAGGTTGTTGGTACTGAAGGAATCTTTACATCACGCGATAGCGAGAACCCCCTTCCTGCTCTACGCAGTCTAGAAGGAAACGTTGACTTTCTGGGCGCTTGCGCTTCGAGGATTGCGACCAAGGAGACCATTGGTAAGCCTAATATTATTCGGGAGGATCCGCTAGCTGCCATCAGAGAGGAATGGAACATTAGAATTCCCGTCGGAAAGGACAGGTCGGGCGAGCGAGCTCAGCAGACGCGATTCTTGGAAAATCTGATGGCGCTCAAGAAGAGGAAGGGCGAGACGGATCAAGTCACCGTATGGGCAAAAGATGGCGAAGGACAAGATTTCAAGGACAATCGAGACCCTGAATACAAACCTAGGCGGAGGAGGAGACTGCTGAACGAAGACGGAGAGGAAGTCATTCCCAAACGAGAGAGGCGGCGTGCAAGTGGACGTAGGGGTGGACGGCCGAGACTTCGAGCCGGCCAGGGTCGCGGTCGCGGATCAGAGGCCGGTTCGACGACCTTGACGCCATCCACAGGAAGAGACCTAGAGGGTCCCTATCCCGAAGGCCACCTATCGACTCCCACTCCGAGCAGATGGAATGACCTGCATGGAGGGGAATACGACGAAATGGACCAGTATGATGAGAGCGAGACTACTGATGATGAAGACGAAGACATGTCAAACGCTGAATAATTATTGGCCAGGTAGTTGCGGGCCAAGACCTTTCAGGATGTCTGAGTCTGGCGCAGTTGGGTCTAAGAAGCCATAGATGGATGGAGGTATGAGTTTATGATACCCGTGGTGCATCATCGCCCACATTGAATGATATGTTTTATATTACCATGCTTCCATTCGTCACTCGATGTGATCCCGTTTCTCTCGAGGGCTATTAAGAGCGCTCTTCTGATACAAGAAAGATCATGGGCACTTTTAGCCTGACTACTGCTGGCCAACAGTTATGCGGTCAACGTTAAGCGTTAGCTGTTAGGCTCAAGTCGCTTCTTGTTCACCGACAAGAACATGCGCTCCAGCTCGCAAGTACCATATGGCGTGATAGAAGTACCAAGGTCTTGGAATCAATTTGTTCTGATTACGTTGGCTTTTTGCGATGTCCCAATTCAAATTGGAATAAGCCCTCAAGCTGGATCAGCAAGGGATTTCGGACTGTAGAATCAAGACTTTCCTGTTTACTACTGCAGCTCGTATGTGGCATTATGATAACTCGGCCAGTATGAGACGGTCGCAGCCAGTGATATGAGCTCGTGGGGAGGTCTCGTGAGCCGAGTGACTACAAGTATCCGTGTTTCTGGTGTCTTTAACCGCTCTGTAAGACTGCAGCCCAAGACCTTTTTGGTATCAGTAATTCACTTCGTTATAAAGCAGCAAAGTGTGTCGTGACTCGCAGACATAGAATGATCATGTCACTCAGCATAATTCCCCCGCCTTTCTCGTGCGTTCATCCATCCATCCTAATTCTGCTGAAGATCATTTGTTTGGAACGAAAACTGACGGTGAACAGGTAAATACACCTGATTCTCTTAGAGGAATAGAAGCATCGTACTCGGGATCGCAAGCTCAGCGTTATTAAACCCCTGCATGTCCTTTTGAATGGGGTTTAATACGGATTTGCGCGTATTTCTGGCAAGATGGTCTCCAGGTACGCTAAAACATTTTCCACAGGAAGCAAGCACATGGGCATGGGGTTCGAGGTCTTTGGTTGCATTTGAAAAGGTACTATTTTATGTACCTGTCCATGTAACGCTGCTTCTAAAACTTGGCAAATAATGTCTGAATCCGGAAGTGAGTTTGACCTGTGGCTTGCTATTGTTTGGATGTTTGAGTATACCAAACTTTGAGGAGAACCCCATCAAGTATGGATGTTTGAGGAAGTCATTCATCGGCACTTGGGGGAGCAAGGAACCTCCACATGGAACGTCCATGGATGTCATTACCCCAGATTCAATGGGCATATTTTCTACGTATTCGTACTCGACACCTGTAAAGACTTAGTCTTGGTATCTGGTGATTGGCGTCTTATGGGCAACAAAGAAACAAGAAACAGTCCTGTCAGGTACACACCCAAGACCTGTTCTGGGCTGTAAGTTTGCAGTTTCATTGCCAAAAAGGTCAGGTATCTGCATTACTCCTCTCCCTCCACTCACTGCACTTCATGGGTCACCGCCGACTCCGCCAATCTATCCATACCCTTGTCGATCAACGGCCATGACTATTGCGCACGCTTCTTTTCTTCCATCGACTTAGTCAAAGGCTTTTTCTTCTTTCTTTCATTCCTTTATTTCTCCATAACATTCAACGACATGCCGACAGTGGTACCGACTCTCTTCGCTCCCCTTCATTCGTGATGCCTGTATAGCCGGCCTATCCTGACTTAGACCCTTCTTCCTGACTGTGTGATCGATACTCCGACCGCTTCCGCCCTGTCGCTATCGCTATCGAAAACTCGATACTCTATCTTGCTCAATTCCTACAAATCCCACATCATATGAGTTTGTCGTCGCAATAACCATGATTTGGTTACGCCGCTTCTCCATATTGCTAGCTTTTGTGCTGCTTGTCTCGTTTGGCGCATGGCTGCTCCCTCGAGTACTAGACCCAACGGATAAAGGCCCAGAGAGACGAGAAAGAGACCGACGCTGGGTTAATAGCAGCCCATACTTTCTGGATCGTCAAGCCTGTCGCTGGATGAGCTTGTGCGGACTGCACCACTTGCGCAGTGACCCTGCTACTCGTGGGAGCAATGGCGACGAGGAGCCCGAATGGGGGGATTTGAAGCGCCGTTCTCTAGCTTGGGAGCCAGAGGAACTTCCACGTCAAGATCATAAGCGCAACACAAATCAGCGTCGCCGGATTCTTCGCGACATCCCCGATTATGTTACCAAGCATGCGCCTTTGGTCCATCTGTATTCTGGAGAGGAGTTTTGGCCTTCAGATATCCGTCAGCATGTCGAACACATGACCGCATATGCTGGCGATGAGCTTATCAACTCTACTGAGAAATGGACCCTTCACAATTTGCACCAACTAAACAAATACTCCGGCAACATTACTCTCCGAAGCGACAATGATGTTGAGTCTAGACCCGATTGGCTACACAGTCATTACAACATTCCCAAACCGTTCCCGGATGATCACGACGGAGAGCAGGACACCAAAATACCGATAGGAAATCCTCAAGGGCAACCGGAGTCTCGAGAACCCAGCACTTGGTATGATGTCGGCAATGACCGTCCTGTACACAAGATTTCGGATCCCAGACATCGCAAATTCCAAAATGGTCGTCGCTCAGAATCTTATGGCCACAAGCCAGACGAAAATGGCTATTCGGCCGCTCCAGCCGTACTGGTAGTTGTTGATAAAGGATCCGGTATTGTGGACGCTTTCTGGTTCTTTTTCTATTCGTACAATCTTGGCCAAACCGTCTTGGGGATTCGTTTTGGCAACCATGTGGGTGACTGGGAGCATTGCATGGTGCGCTTCGAGCACGGCATTCCCCGAGGTGTGTTCTTTTCAGAACATGAGGGTGGGCAAGCATACGCCTTTGAGGCTGTTGAGAAGCGCGGAGAACGACCCGTCATTTATTCCGCCGTTGGATCGCACGCGATGTACGCTCTACCAGGCAAGCATCCTTACATTCTTCCCTTCAAACTCCTCAAGGATGTTACAGATAAGGGGCCATTGTGGGATCCGTCTCTTCACAACTACGCATATCATTACGATTACATAAAGGAAGGCGGCCACGAACCGGACGATACGGAGGAACCTCTGAGTCTCGTTCCCGCAGCCTCAAATCCCCATGCACCGACCTCCTGGTTCCATTACCGCGGACATTGGGGTGACGAAGTATATTCCCTCGCTGACCCTCGTCAATGGCGCTTCTTTGGACAGTATCACTACGTCACTGGCCCTGACGGACCCGTGTTCAAGACGCTTGATCGTGGGAAGATGTGCCAAAAGCAGAGTTGCAAAATTCTCTACAACCTTGACCCCAAAAACACTTGGTATTAGACAAGATACTGCCAGCTCGGTTTTATGTTGCTTCATTAGCGTTGACACAAGGCTTCAGTAGAAACCTTGATGATATCATTGATTTAGACGAATGCATCGAGATAGCGGATCCAGCCATGGATCCCAAGATGCCCTCCAGAGCGGGAATTACTTTTGGGATAGAACGGCATGACTGCGGCGTTGAACTTTTGGGAATTCCATTTTTAGATAGAGTTCTGATTTGGCTTGCTTGATGCAAAGACTCAAGCCAAGGAGGTGGGTTGGTTCCTTTGATGATGGGTATTTGATACCTGGATACTACTTGATCATGCTTCAACCTTAGACACGTTGTGATTCTTACTTATGATTGCCCAGTATATAAATAAAAGAGTCACTGAATTTATGTCTGCGGCATTGAATGCTTCCAACACCGTAGACAGAATGCGCTACAGCTGTCAAACCTGTACTAGTATACAAGATTCTCATCGCTTAACCCAACGGTTGTAAGATGGACCAGCGAATTCAAGCTTTAATGCACATGCCGCAATATACGCGAAGTCACCATGGCCTGATATCAATGCATGACACCGGGTCGGATGATGCGGCTGATGATCAGGTCCCTGTCATTAGCCATAAGGCTAACAATACAATGCTTGTTTCAACCTGTTTTATGGATAGTGTCGGGCGGTCATAACGTGTACACATCATTGTCTGCAAAGAAGCTTCCTTTCGGATACGGAGCTTTTTCATGCAGTGACCCCAATCGAGGCAGTCCATGGTTTGATGAAGCGCCTCTGCATTTAACCAAGTCTGGAATTCCAATCATGTGCTAACTTATTAGCCGCTTTTGAAAAGAGACGGTGATAGTTTCAGAATTTAACTAAGTGGCACCAAACCTCTCTAAGTTTTGTACTATCCAAACGTCAAGTTTAGTGCGTTAGGAGCATTGCATACGTTCCCTGATTGTTCTAGAACAGTGGGTTAGAAGTATGATCGATCTAAGGGATATGTGCAGCAAGTATGCGGAAACCCACGTGTGACCAATACTTGAACTCTGATATACCTACATAATAGCTTTGCTGGTATGCCCATGGGTTATTCTAATTGGGCATATCCTTCGTACTCCATCCCACTCGACAAACCTCTTTGTTCAGACTGGTATGTGATGACAAGAATCGTGTTTCATCATGATCCAACAGCCAATCAGTAGTAGCTGTTATACGACGAACCCAACAGCATGCAGCAACTTGTATAGGTGTTTGCTCCCCTTACGATTTTCCAACCGTTGGTTACTTGAACTCTATCTGTACAAGAACTCGTGTGAGTTGGATACTACCAAGCCAGGAATAGTATTAGACTGTGAGAGCTGAGCTTTTGGATGCTCAATTAGCGTAGATGCATTCACTATTGACGTCTAATGGTCAGTATTGATAACCCTAGTCTAGTCAATCAGCCACCGGGAGCGGGAGATCTGTCCTTGCTATTGATAACATCGTCGAATTATGTAGATCGAGGGCGGACGCTAGAGGCAACCCTTTCTATATCCGTCCATACGTTATATCTATACTACCATAGTTCAGCTGAAGCAGAAATTCACTATGCAGGAGGTTCCAACAGTTGATTCATAAAGTATGCTTTTCGGGATGTCTTGGATCCGAGAGCAATCCTTGCTCGCGACTCCTTCCCCT